AACACCAAGAGGCAGCTGAAAGCAAGATGACTTCTTTTAACTGTGTCTATTCTTTGAACAAAAACCAAAGAACTCTGACTTATTAGTTTTAGTAAGAAACAAAAATTCCATAATCATCAAAATATAAACCCTGCAAGAGATACTTGTTCTTTTTCTTTTTATTGTTGTGCTGGGTGGGAGTACACTGTGGCATTTACAAAAGTTCTTAGGATGTATCAAATATATCATACTTGAATTCAAGATACTTGTTCTTGAACCAAATGTTAGCTGGTCTCTCAATATTCAAACTTAATAACTAACTGCTTCTTGTTTTCCCAATAACTCCCTGCTCTCTTTTCACATATTGGGCCCTCTGATATAAAATTCCTCTACCATGTCTCCACTTGCCTCTACTTGGCTTCCTCCTACTCATACTTTAGATTTCAGTTTAAAAATCACTTCTTCCAAAATAACTTCAAATACTTGTTAGATATGTGCTTCAGAATACTCTTAACTTATCCACACAACATCCACACAATATATTTTAATTGTTCAGTCAGTCATCTGACTTTGCCTCTAGACTGTCCTTGACAAGAGAGAGATTGCCTGCTTCATGTAAGCAGTCCATGTATTGGGTGTGGTGGCACACATACGTAATCCCAGCACTCAGGAGGCTGAGGTTAGGCTACATAGTGAGACACTGTCTCAAAAAAAAAGAAAAAGAAAAGTAGCCCAGTATGGATGCCAGGTACATAGCAAGTACTTTTAACTTTTATTCAATTGCTATTATTTTGCAGCTGCCCCCAAGTAATACTTTTCAACCAAAACCTTTTGTAATGACACATGGAAAGAAGGTAACTGTTCAGTTTAGCTAAATCAACATAGCAAATGGTCATCTATGGAAGCATGAACCTAAATCAAGCCCCTAGGGCATCAAACTGTTTGTTACTACTCATTGTTTTCATGTATGAAGAAAGTTTTACAATTAGATTTATTAGATTAAGTAATCTGGTTTGGTTTATTACATATTTATTAAGACAATGGGAGAATGATAAGAGAAGAAAGGATAAAAAAGCCAAAGTAATTTAAATATTCATCTGAGTACTTTTTTCACTTTTTATAAGGAAAATTTTATATAGGAAAAAAACAGTAGAGAATGAGTTGAAATAGTTGGGGGCTCTCTATCATGAGTCACTTATTAAGGGGTATTTTATACCAACTGGAAAAGCATCTTGGAAGCTATCATCATACACAATCTAAAATAATTACTATACTTTAAAGGGCAAATCAAATAATGGTTGAAAGAGGGAAGATTCCCATTCTGAATGATTATAGAGAATCTATATGGAAAAAGCAGGAAGCCAACCACATGCAGTTAGTTAAGGTTTAGGAAACAGCTGGTAACAAAGAAAAATATATTGCTTCCAGGTGTGGTTCATGCCTATAATCCCAGCTATTTAGGAGGTGGACAGAGGAAGACTGAGGCTTAAGGCAAGCCCAGCTATAAAGTTAGCAAGCTGGACAGAGTAGTGCACAAATGTAATACCAGCAACTTGGGAGGGGGAGGTAGGAGGACTTTGGCTGAGGCAGCTATCTAAAAAACAAATTAAAGCAAAAAGCACTGGGTGGATGGTGGTCTGTGTGTAGCTCAAGAGGTTGAACACTTGCCTAGAAAGCAAGTACTGCCAAAAAAAAAAAAAGAAAAGAAAAATTGAACATTTTATCAGTGACTTTAGAGCACACAACTATTAGGAATACATAGGACACCTGTAGGTGATGGGAAAGATTTTTTATTATTTTTAACTGGAATATAATCTTTACTATTTTCCTTTACTTAAACATACTTACTATAAAGGATATAGTTTTGTAACTGTTAAATACTGCAGAGGAAAACTAGAAGTCAACCAACAACAACATATAATGGAGCCACTGAAATGATTAGATGTGCAAACTAATTCCTGTACTAGTGACAGATTTGAACAGGAATCACTAAATCCCACCCACAGGCATATCATGTGAAGTGTGTATGAACAGTAATAATTTCATGGTAGTGGTACCAAAGGTAATATCTCAAAGTTCTTTCTACAAGTCAGAACAATATCAGATAGAACTGATTTATAGCTAACTAAAGGATTAATATCAAGGAATTTATTAGAATTCACTGTTTCCTCTAATTCTTGGAAACGTAAGTATCTACAGAAGATGTATATGTATATACGCATACATATACATATACACACACACATATATATATACTACATATACAGCAAATAATATATACATATATAATGTATATAAACATAAATAGAAATGGATGGTAACCATACTTTTCATAAAAACAGAAACATTCTAAGTTCAAACATAAATCTCTACTTTTGGATACAAGAAATTTATCTAAATTATTTGTTATGATCAGTTCTGTAAGTATGTCATAAAGCACAAAAATAAGCATTAACTTAATTAATTAAAGGTGTCCAAGAGGCATAGTTCAATTCATTAACATGAAGAAAACTATGCGATTTTATACAATACTCATGTATAAAGAAAAGATCTATTAAAATTATAATTCTGTGCTACCATGGTAAAAATGAGTTCTTTAGTCAGGAACAGTATATAACTAAAAAGAAAATACAACTGATAACCCTTCAATGCTGGAACTTATGTGGAATGTTTAGAATAAGTTACAGGATAAGGGAAGAAAGAGGGATAACAATACTTCAATTTTTTTATTTAGTTCCTAGACATTCCAGGCAGCTTTTTTGCCTCTAATCATTATTTTTTGCCTTTATCATTTTTCTGGATAGGTAAAGCATTTGGCACGAGTTTACTGCAAAGAACCCGGACTGGAGGTAAGTAGAAGTATTAACCAGGCTTCTGTCACTTATAAGCTAGATGGCCCTGGCTAAATCACTTAGCCTCACTTAGACCTTGGATTTCAGATGAATAAAGGAAGGATCATTTCTAGATCTGCTTACTTGTAACATTTAGAAAGAAAAATTTCATGAAAGTATGCTATATGCATGCATGGAAATATGACAATGAAATCACTTTGTACAAGTAAATGTTAAGAAAAAAAAATGGCTGGAGGTGATATAGCACCTGCCTAGCAAGAATGAAGCCCTGTGTTCAAACCCCAGTACCAAAAAAAAAAGAAAAATTCTGAATTTTGAAATCCAATCTTCAAATAATTCAAACTCCTGTGGTTGCCACCACAGACTACTGATTATACAAGGAAGGATTAAAAATTAAGTAAAAATAATTACTTGTAGTACACAGGAAAGGTCAAACTATATACTAAATCTGTTAAGTCTAATGAAACCAACTTTTCACTTTCTGTTAACTGACCACCACTGAAAAAGTTAACTCTCTCTACAGTGAAATATAGAACCCTGTCCTGACTGAGAATCAGTATCTTCCTAATTGTTACACCTAATCTGTTGACCCTAGCTATAAAATACAAACCAGATCAGTGGAAAATGTAACGGTAAAAATAAAGCTCAGTGAGGCCCTGAATTAAAAAGTTCATTCTAAAATATAAAGTGAACTGCAAAGAAAAAAGAATGTTGATATACTATAAGGATTCTAAATCATCCTATGGAAAACAAAATCACATTACAAAATAATACTTTTAATTCATATGGGCCCTTTCATAGAGAAACTGAAAGTATTTTTAAAGAAATTACCCAATCAATTTTCATGACACTTCTGTGAAAAGTCAGGTATTAACTAGCTTTTTTCCAAAGGGGGCAAAAAAACAAAAACAAAAACAAAGGAACTAAAGTTACTCTGCCATGGCATAGTCCTCTATTCTACATCTAGTGGAATAACTTACAAAAAAACTTCCTCGGCCCCATGATAAATGATGTTATCTGAAATGCCTGAGCTTTTTGAAAAGTGACTTCTCACAATATTTGAGTGCTAGTTAACTGTCTTTGTTTAGTATTTATCCACACTTAGTTCATTATCTGTCACTCTGGTGGCACTCATATATTTGTTCAGTGAATAAGGACTATTAATAGCTAACAATTACTAGAGCTTCTATATCATGCATTATAATATATTGCTTCATTTTAAGACTACAAACAATTTGATGAGGTAAATTATCATTCCTCATTTTACTGATCAGGAAACTAAGGCCTGGATTAATAACTTGCCCAAAATTACAAGATGTTACAAAGCCAGGATTTTAACAAAGATAACCTAACTTTAAATGTGTTTAACAATCATGATTATAGAAAAAAAGTATTAGACTAGCATTAAGAAATTCTATCTATAGTCTAGTCCTTTTAACACTACTTTCTTAGAAAGAAGGAAAATTTCTTACTGATCTTTTTATGTCTTTAGAATGCTTAGAATAGTACCTTAGTTCACATTATTCTTCATCATGTGTTTCCTGAATAAAATTAAAATCACATTAAAAAACAAGGCTTCTCTGGCCTCAATTTATAAAATGGAGAAAAATTACCTGCATAGTCTACCTCAATGATTTTCAAAGTGTGGGCCCAAGATATGGAAATTTTGCCAGAAATGCAAATTGTCAGGCCCCACTCCAGACCTTGTGAATCATTTTAACAAGTCTTCGGGTCATGTTAATGTCTGAGAACCTTGGGTCTACTTCATACAGTAATTGTGTGGCTCAAATGAGTTCAAAAGCACCCTAAAAAGTGAAAGTTGTATCATTATTATTATTAAAAGATCAAATTGTACTTTGTGATAAAAATGAACATCAGAAATGAAATATATCATAAAATACATTTTATTTTATTTTTTTGAGGCAGGGTCTTGCTATGTAGCCTCGAATTTGTTATCTTCATGCTTTAGCCTCCCAAGTGCTGGGATTATAGGCACATACCACCATGCCTGGCTATGAAATAGTTTAAAAAATACTGTTCTTCTAGATTTGGATCATATGTAGTATTCATGGGTCCAGAAGAAAAGGTAATTGTGATCCACAAAACTGTACCTACAAATCTGATAAGTTGATGATGTCAAAGATCTGACTTGCTGTACAAGCTTCTTACCTGACCAGTGTCCAGTAGAGATGCCAGATCTGTCTGTGCATGTCTCACTTACAGGTCTAAACACAGTCTCCCAACCATCATTGGCATAGCGCCAATTCTGAGATTCCAAGATGAGTGTTCGCTGGGTGCCATATGCAATCATGAAACAGTATACCACATGATGGAGTTGACACCCATAGCCACAGCCTTTGTTGATGTTACATACTAGCTTCTTGGCTTTGCTGCAGTCCTTGGGATTCTGTCAAAGAGAAAAAGAGACAAAGATGAAGATAAATGTACAGAGACATCAACTTCTCTTTACAGGTCACAAGTAACAAAAATCATATACTAAGCCAGAACTGATCCAGTATAATTTGTATTAAGCAAAGAGCCCAATTTAATAAGAATTGGACTTAATAATAATCTTATGTGCATATCTAGGGAGATGGCAATGAAAAAGAACAATTACTTCAAATATCAATAAACAAACGTGCAATTAAGCAGTTACATTAAAAATATTCTCTCACTTCTCTATCACTCAGAACATGATCAACTCTGAAGTCAAAGTTGCCAACATTGAGATCTTTATGAAAGAAGTAAACACCCTGCATTCTAGCAGCACTTTAGCATTCTGAGCTTATCTTCTGTGACAAAACTCAAATTATCATAAAGGAAAAAGCTATAATTTATCTTTTAATTCACTCTGTCTCCAGATTTTTACATGCTACAAACAAAATCTACTTTTTCCATTATGAAGTAAAAGGCATCGAGTAAAGGGACATTTGAATTCAGCAATTACAAAATATCAGACATAGAACTTCTTTTAAAAGCAAACTTGATGCTAGCTACAGAAAGTTTTCACAACTGAATATAGAACATTTTATACTGACTATCTTGAAAATGTGTCATGCCAATTTTTAATTGGGTTGTTCATTTTTTCTATTTCTGCATTTTTCCATAAAATGGTTAGCTAGCTAATATGAAAATTTCCTTTTTTCCCCACCGTGAAGTTTCATTTCAGCTCTAATTTGTATGAGCAGTTACTAAATATCCCTAGGCATCTTCATGCCTCAAATAACAACTTGTTTTGACAAGTGCTTTTTAGTCTTGAGTTTTCCAAGGTGTGTGTTTGTTTGTTTTTCAAGGGAAGAGATGATGGGTGCTTCTAGGAACAGAATCTATTTTTTACCCTATACACCAAGAGACAAGGTAATCAGTTCTCGATTTATACAAGCCTTGAATAAAGCAGTCAGCAAACCTCTAATCTAAAACTTTATTCTAGGGAAATCATATAATCTGTTAAGTAGAGCACTACTTACAAAAGCTAAGATAGTGAAGCTATAAAATGATTATAAAGGAAAAGCTGAGAAGGGAAAATGCAATACAGTCAACTTTGAAAGAGGCAGCTTTCCTATTCAAATGTGTCACAGCAAGCTGGTCTTTAGATCAAAGCAGAACCAATGCCACCAAGAACCTTAAGAGTTAAAGCCCTTATAAATCCAAGAGAGCTCTGAGAAAATTCAACAAGATTTGGTCAATTGTTTCCACAATCAAGTTACTGATTCTTTTCCCTTGAGACTATGGTAGACTCCCATCTGTACTGCTATAGTCACAAAAGATTTGAGAGGAACAGAAAATGCCATATGGGAATGGGAGAACTACATTATTTAATTTCTATATTGTATTATACAACAATCCTGAGAGTAAATGACATCTTAAAGTGATCTAAGGCTTTGTTATTGACTCAGGAGTTTATCAAGGGCTCAGATAAACATTGACATTTATCAGATTTTTTTGTGATTTGTAAGAAATACAGCACTTGAAATCTCTATTTTTGAGATTCCATATGAATGGAAAGAAAATGTCCGTGTATTTTTCAATTATTGCAAAGATAGTAGAGTGCTCCCATACACCTTATGCCCAGTTTCCCTGATTTTTAATCTGACCTTGGTCTTCATATTTTTTAAGGAAAAAGAAGTGATGGAACATAATTATTGAAATATTTGACCTTTAGTTTGGAAACTGTAGATTTTTTTTTTCTTTTTTGTTGGGACTAAGGTTTGAACTTAGGGCTTCACACTTGTAAAGCAGGTGCTCTACTGCTTGAGCGACATCTTCAGTCCATTTTGCTCTGGTTATTTTGTAGATGGGGTCTTACAAACTATTTGCCTGGCGTGGCCTTGAACTGTGATCTTCCCATCTCAGCTTCCCAGGTAGGTAGGATTATAGGTATGAGCCACTGGCACCTAGTGAAACTATAGGGCTTTTATTTGAAAGAAAATTCCTATCTGTATGTAAGAGAAGCACATCTACTGTGTGTTTTAAGAGAAGAGCGTAATTAGAACCCAAGGTTTTAAGTACAAAAGCTGAGACAGAAAAGAAAGGAAAGAGCAATTTATGAAAGAGGCTTAATTCATGAAGATTAGTGGATCTCAGGTCAAGCAGAACAGAGACCAAATTAATTTTTCTGTTATGTCATAGAGGTAACATAAAGAAAGGGGAAACAATAAATAGCCATGGTTCTGAAGTGAGAAAAGTCTACACATGAAAGATAATCAATGGATGACTTCAAGGTGAGAGTGATAAAAAGAGAAACTGAATTAAGTGGAATGAGAGACCAGTAAACAAAACACGGAAAAACATCAGAGTTACAGCTCCCCCCCCTCTTTTTTTTTTTGCAAAAATTCTAACATTTTAAAGTATGGAAAATCTAAAGGATATTTTTATAAAAGTTCTTTAAAACAGAGAGGACAGTGAGAAATAGAAAAGGTATTTGCTTTTGTAACACAAGATTAAGATCACTAGGGGCTGGGGAGTGACTCAAGTGGTAGTGTGAAGCCTTGAGTTCAAACTTCAGTCCCACCAAAAAAGAAAGACAAAGATTTAGAAAAAACAATTAAGATATTCCTAGGGTAAACAGACATAATTTTTTCTTCTCCTTTTAAAAACAAGTGACAACTCTGAGATGGACATGGAAAGGAACTTATAGGAAATCCCTAACCAGAACTGAGTCTTTGTTAGCCACTGTGTTAGAGTAACAACAAATACAAAAACAAAGTTAAAATACAAACTCTATAAATTATGCTTATAATGTGAGATTTTTTTTTTTAACATATGTATTACTAAAGCCAGATTCACCAATGGCCAATATATTCTAGCTCCTTGCAGTGATGATGATAATTATCCAAGTTTTAGAAATAGGAGGTAAATTTAACTTAATTACTTGAGACAGTAAGACAATATGCTCTTAAAAAAGAATTTTGGTGAGAGAGGCCAAGACATGATTTTGTCCCAATGAAGAGTCCACTATGAACTCAACTGTGTGATTTCACTTTAATTTGCTAACTTAAAATTGAGATTAAAAATGTTCTCCCTCACAACCTCCCCCTGGTTCAATTCCCAGAGGGAACTGAAGGGTTCAAAACCCTTCGCTCTCAGAGATAATATGAGGCTTAACAAGATGGTGTATACGCAAGGTTAATTTGAACATACTATCTCCATGTATTCTTATAATCTAAGAGACACTATTTCATGCTGAACAAATCCAATATGGAGGGGCAGTGCTGGGGATGGAACTCAGGGCCTTGTACACACTAAGCATTGAGCTACATTCCCAGCCTAAAGCACAGATTTTCACTATTTAGGAAGATATTCTCTACACACAAATAAAAACATCTTTGAAGGACAATTTTTCCAGTCCCAATGTAATGTCCCTTAGTCATTTGCACAGACTTACTACTGACCAAAAGCATTGCAGAAAAAGACTAAATCAACAACAAATTAACAATTAGTTAATGTAAACTGGAGATAACATGTCCTGGCATCTCTTACAAAGAGTAAATGCTCAATAACTATTAGTTTGGATTACATCTTGAAAGACAACGGGATATCCATAGCCACAAGTATAAACTGATAAGCTGCAAGCCAGAATTTAGAATTTAGTTCTCTTAATCCACTTTCCAGTGTCCTTATCTATTCTCCAAGGTGTCTTCAATACAAACTGTAGCAAGAAGTGCAGGTCAGCATTCTATCTGGCTACTTTTGTAGGTTAAGGATTAAGAATCACCACCCCAGAGGATCTTTCCAATTCTTCTCTTAAGAACATTTCTTCTTTTGGGAGGAATTAAGTCATAGATAGTTCCTATTCTCAATGAAGAGAGCTCAGTAAAAACAGAGGTATGTTTTGATGAGGTAGACTGGATGTATCTCATTTGCTATCTGCTTTTTCTTTGTGGCCCTTATGGTAGCAGAAAATAATCCCAACTGTTATTGGAAAGCTGGTCCCCTGGCATCAATGCCATTTACAAATAATGAGAGCAGAGTTTTGAGGAAAAGGAAACAAGGTTTATTATTCGTCAGATGAAGAGGAGGACAGAGAGAATCAACCTCTCAAAACTCTGTCACCCCCCTTTTGAGAGAAAATGTCCATTTTTTTAAAGAAGAATTTTATTGTGCTCTTTGTATGCTCCAATCACAAGACTAAAGAGTTCTTAATCTGTTTGCTTAAAAAGATTTGCAGTGTCTAGCTTTGTGTTGGTATTGAAGAAACGATTTACTAATAGTGTGGCAAAAGCATTCCATTGTATTGGCAACAATCTGATTTTATTCCTCTAAAATTATTTTGAAAAACCAAAGCAGAAAAGGTAATGAAGCAAGTAAGAGAATCAAAGTACTGCATGGTGGTAATTAAAATGAAGACTCTGGGCATAGTTACTAACTGAGAAAGAAAACTTAAAAAGCATTTTCATTTTTAAAAGACTAGACCAGAAATTACTGCCTCCTAACATACTAAATGAGAATATTTCCTTAACAAAGGTAAGATGGTATGGATGGGGTCCTTTCTACCTTGTGGCAAAGAGCAATCTGTTACTAGTAGTAAAGGGTAACTCAAAGCTCAGGCTCAAGCAGGCCACCAAGTGTTCGAGGAAATCAATTTCTCTGCAGGAAGTCTGTAAAATTTAAGTGTGGAAACTTAATGAAGAAAAGATACCAAGATATAGTTTACAGACAGACTAACACAATGTAGCAAAGGTATTTGTGTTACTACACAGTATAGAAGAGGAAAGCTTATCTTTGTAAGCAGAGCAGCAGTTGGCTTATTTTAAGTACACTTTTAAAACTTTTTATCTTTGCCTACACAGCTCTATTGAGTATTTTAAAACCATTTTTATTAAAAATGGAAATCCTACAAACCCTATAGAAAGCAACAAATAAGAGAAGGGCATTTTTTCTACTAAAGATCTTCAAGATAGTATTGTCATCTCTGGGTATTCCAGGTGGTCTCTAGAAAACCTCCAACTTACATCCAAGA